ATTCACGAAATCCAACAACAGCAAAGTTTTAATTTATAAATGATCTCAATATTCCATTTGTCAAAATATTTTATTAAAGTCACAGGCAAATCTTTCAAAGAAGAAAAAACAAACCTCTGCTAGGCACAGTGTAGAAACCCATCTGCTCAGAGGTGTGAACTGGATGTAGCAAATTACATCTGCAAGCCTTACTGCAAGTGCTCCCTAATGAAATCCAAGATGTTGATTTTGACCCAAACACTCTACACAGATTGAATCTGGCTATATTAGAGTATATTAGAGATAATCTCTCCCTTCCCATGGCAATTGAAATCAGATGACACATTTCAACACAGTTCCTCGTTTTGAACTTTAGAAGTCCAAGTCTCAAATCTATGAGAATCCATCTTGTTTATCCTACTGACCACCTTTGCAATGGTGGGTAATTTTTCTTCAAATCATAATGACTAGGAATTCTTTTCCATTGCTCATGAACCTGAAGACAAGTTAGAAGCTGACATTTTCATTTTTTTCTCCTATAGTAACCAAATGAGTTAGCTAAATATGCTATTTACTGAACAGCAAACACTACAATTATTTAGTGAGCTCATATTTTGGAACATGGTTGTGATAGATTTTAGGAATAGAACAGTGAACAAAACAGATATATTGCCTACCCTTTTCACCTTACTAGGGGACATAGAAGGTGAACAAAAATTATTCAGGTAAGAGTAGTAAAAGTGAAGAGTCAGGTACAATGAGAGCAGAGAAGAGAGGGGCTTGACTAGTGAAATACCCTGAAACCTGAAGATGAGAAGAGGAAGGAAGCCGGTAGAAGAGATCAATGAGGAAGGCACATTCCTAGCACAAGATAATGCCTGTGATAGGACAGAGTTGTGCTGTTGAAAGAACACAAAAAAGGCTACAGAGGGTGTAGGAGGGCAACTGGTAGCAGTGGGAGAGATAAAAAGTTAGGGTGGGCAGGGCCAACTGATACAGGATCTTGTTGGTCATGTTAAGGATTTTAAATTTATCCAAAGATTGATAGAAAGCCATGGAAGAGATTTCAGGCAGAAATAACTAAAATATACGAAAAAGAGAGAGGAATTTGAATTTCCATTCCTTAGGAGATCAAAGAGAAAGAAGAGTAAGGAAGAGAAACCTCTTATGGCAAACCTGCTAAGAATTCTAAAGGACAAAAGTGTCTATAAGCCATGGACACAGACAATAGTGTGGTGAAGGCCTGGGACAGGAGGCGGGATGGACTAGAAGGTTCAATGGGGGGGAAAAGCGATGTCTGTAATACTTTCAACAATAAAGATAAAAGAGAGAGTGAGAGAGAGAGAGAGAGAGAGAGAGAGAGAGACACTAATAGAGACTTAAAAATTGTTTGATAGGGGTGTATCAGTACCATTTATGCCTTTAGTATGAAATTTTCAGTAAACTCTATTATTTAATGCTTCATGTGAGTGAATATTATAAGGGAATTGAAAGAGGTGAAGGATTTTATTTCTACTTCAGAGACAGGGTTCCACACCCAGTTTCAGGAACATAGTAGTTGAAGAGACCAGGAAAGAATAATGTATCTGGACAACAGTAAACATGGAATTTGGAAATCATATTTAGATATTAAAAACTACAATAGGCCTGGCTGGCATGGGTCAGTGGTTGAGCATTGACCTATGAACCAGGAGGTCACGGTTCAATTCCTAGTCAGGGCACATGCCTGGGTTGTCAGCTCGATCCCCAGTAGGGGGTGCGTGCAGGAGGCACCTAATCAATGATTCTCTCTCATCATTGATGTTTCTCTTTCTCCCTCTCCCTTCCTCTTTGAAATCAGTAAAAATATATATTTTTTTTAAACTACAATGGCTTTTACTAAGCACTTGTCATGTGACAGATACTTTTTAAAGTGTTCATACATTATCTGATTTAATCCTAACAATCTTTTTTAAAAGATACTAAATTTATTTATTACACTATTCCTTTCAATAGTCTGTAAAATATGAGAGAGCAGGCACCATATATATCTGGTTCAAATGTGTATTCTCTGTGTCTGCCATAAGGTAGATGCTCAATAAATATTGGATAAATAAGTGGGTCAGATATGGAGGCAGATGGGAAAATGAGGAAGCAGAACGAGGCTAGAGGAGTGAGCAATACAGCAAACAGAGATGGTTGATGAAAAAGCAATCCTAGGTTTTAGGAATATAAAACAAATAGATTTCCTCAAAAAGCTGGGCCAAGTAACTTCCTCATCAATAAGGATGAACATTGTGTCAAGGCTTACTGAAGACAAATTTGTCTCTTTTGGAATCCTCAGAATATAGAGAAAGCTTAAGACATGAATAAAATGGTCCCATTTTACTTTTGTTCTGGTTGCATTATAATTATCATCTTAAATTGAAGAAGACACAAATAAATGGAAAGATATTCTATGCTTATTGATTAGAAGAATATTGTTAAAATGTCTGTACTACCCAAAGCAATCTATATATTCAATGCAATTCCTATAAAAAAAATCTAATGGCATATTTCACAGAAAGATAATTAGCAATCCTAAAATGTATATGGAAGCACAAAAGAACCCAAATAGCCAAAGTGGATTTAAAGAACGAAATAAATGAACAAAACAGAAACAGACACATAGATACAAACTTACCATATGAACCAACAATTCTTTTCCTAGGTACACATATCTAATAGAAATTAAAACATAGATCTACACAAAAACATGTACAAGAATGATCATAGCATCATTAATCATAATAGTTAAAAAGTGAAGACAACGTACATGCCAATCAACTGATGAATGGATAAAGAAAATGTGGTAAATACCTAAAATGGATTATAATTCAACCATAAAATGAAATGAATCAACCTTGAAAATATTATGTAAGTAAAAGTAGCCTGTCACAAAAGACAATACACTGCGTGATTTCATTCATATGAAATGTCTACAATGAGCAACTTTATAGCTACAGAAAGGTTAATGGTTGCCAGGGGCTGAGGGAAGGAGGAATGAAGAGTAACTGCCAATAGTGTAACAATTTGTTTCTGGAGAAATGAGACCAGACATTCTAAAATTTGATAGTGGTGATGGTTGCACAAAACTAAATATACTAAAAATCATCTACTAAATACAGCAAAAATTATCTAATTATATATATATTAAAGGGAATAATTTTACAATATGCACGTTATACCTTTAAAAGTTGTCATACACATATGAGGGAGTTTTAACAACAACAAAAAATCAAGGAACAAATCATTTTAACCTTACAAAAATTATTCCAGAGTTAAAACAAAAAACAAAAAAGAGGAAGCACTCCCCCACTAACTTTATGAGGTTGGCATATCCTTGATATAATATACAATAGCTGTTATGATAATAAAGAATTCCCTATAACCAAAAGCAAATGGCAAAGAATGGGTATGACATTTCAGTATGCTAGGGAAATGTCCTTGCATCAATACAAAGGTCACACACAAAAAAAACTCTAAAGAGCTTCCTTCTGACTCTAAAATTCTATAACTATGATAATAGCATTCATATTCAATAATCTTAAATATCAACCTCAATTTCTGGCATTGAAATCATGCTTAATTCTGACTAATCTGAGAAAACTAGATTTCAATAAAAATTTCAATACGAAGAAGAGAGAAATTAACATCAAGTCACAGTCAGAGCTGCACAGACTTTGATTTTCAAAAACAGTACGTATGTATAGTAATCTTTATGATATCAGTATCCATACACTTACATCCTAATAATATGAACAAGGTGTTGACCTGTTCAGCACTGTCAAAAATTTAAACCTTGTTGTTAAAATATAGGTTCACATTATTTACGTTGAGATTTAAAACTTTTCCAGGTTCATATACTGTTTGAGATCAATATGTCAAAGTTCAAAAGGGTATGAATTTGCACTGAAAACACTGCAATATCACAAATCAAGTATTTATTAAAGAAAGAGCCATGGCTCCAACCATCACACAATTATCTACTTTTCCTAAATAAATGAGAAATCGAGAAATATATTATGCTTGATACAAATAGTATATTCATTTGATTATGTATATGGTATAACATAGACATTCACAAGTCATGGTTTAAATTAAATAAAGAGCAGGCTGATAGCTCTTGGGTGGGAGTGGGGGGCTGGGGGCATGGAGGGATTGAGCAATAAAGGAAAAAGAAAGAACTCATAGACAGTGACACAATGTGGTGATTGTGGGGGGAAGGGGACTGGGTGGAGGTGGAAGAGGATATGGGGAGATAAATCATGATGGAAAAAAATTAAATTAAATTAAATTTTTAAAAATAGATCAACCTATTCAACAGTCTGAGTTCAGCCTAATGCATACATCTAAAACCAACTTTCCTCTCAAGTTAATTTTATCTCTTTAGCACTTTAATGATTATACCATATTGCGTATGATCTTTTGTGCATAGAATCCATTTATATACATATATATAAGTATATGAATAGGACTGAAAGGTGTGGATGTCAATAAATAGCATCACTTAGTTATGTTCATTTACTTTGTAAATCTTTCTTTTTAGATCATTTTGTAGATCACTTAGTTTATTTTCATGTAGATCTTTCAATGAGACTGACTTACATGTGCACTAGCATATTTTAAAAAAAACAAAATTAAAAATATCACTATCTATATCTATACATATGAAAGCCTAAGCAGCTGTCCAACCACCCGACTGGTACCTATGATGGGCAATGACCACCAGGGGGCAGACACTCAACGCAGGAGCTGCTGAGCTGCGGTGACTTGGCAGCTATGGTTCTCCAGTGATACACCCAGAACCAGAGAGGAGGGAGCCCTGATTCCGGGGTGCCTCACCCAAGAACCACCCTCTCACAATCTGGGACCCCTTGGGGGATGTTGGAGAGCCAGTTTCAGCCCAATCCCCACTGGCCAGGGACCCCACTGGTGCATGATCCATGCTCTGAACCTCTAGTAAAATGTAACAACCATAAAAAGAATTTCTTTAAATGTACCTTCTTCAAGGATGGGTCTTGGGATGACAAATGGAATCTCCTGCAGAGGCTCCATATACTTGTGGCCAGCACTAATAATCTTTATTTGAGGCAAGCAGAGCACAAGGGTTCCTGGCATGCTGGTTTGTCCGTGGTACCAACTTCTTACTGTTCCAGGGATGTCACCAGATACAATTGTACTTGGGGAAGGCAGGCTATCATTTGGAATGAACACACAACAAGACTGTACTTCAAGCTAGAAGAGAAAAGTAGAATTAAAATGTTTGGATCAGACTAAATATGGGAGTAAACAGACCCTCAAACATGGTATCTTTACCAGAATAAACAAAAGCAAATAAAAAAGAAAAAGTCCAATACTTAAAGGATTTGTTTTTTGCTATAAATTTGATCAAAAGTGCGCAGTGACATGAGATGAAAACATATCTGCCTTTCCACAGTTCTTTCCAAGAAACATAACTGAGTTAGAAAATGTGCTGGCAAAAAAGGTGAGAAAATCCTCCTCCTTTTGCAGTTCATTAGATTTTGTTAACACCAGTTAAGTCCTTAGAACTGACTAGCATTTTATTGCTCCTACTTTCTCTGACTGCCAGTCAGAGAAAGACAAGGACCATATGATTTCACTCATATGTGGAATCTAATGAACAAAATAAACTGACAAACAAAATAGAAACAGACTCATAGACAGGGAACAGACTGCCAGCTGTCAAAGGGGAGGAAGGATGCAGGAATGGATAAAAAAGGTGACAGGATTAAGCAACAAAAAAACAAAATCTTCATAGACACAGGCAACAGTATGGTGATTACCAGAGGGAAAGAGGGGATGGAGGAGGGAGAAGAGGATATAGGGGGGATAAATGGTGATGGAAGGAAACTTGACTAGGGGTGGTGAACACACAATACAATATACAAATGATGTAATATAGAATTGTAGATCTGAAATCTATATAATTTAATTAATCAATGAATTCAATTAAAATAATTTATAAACACTTTTTTAAAAAGCCCACAAACTGTTATTTCTACGTGAATTTGGTCCTTCCTTTTTTACTTTACAAATTAAAATATAAGAACAAATGTTTAAAATGTTCAGATTATATCTCTAAGCAAACAATAAAACAGAACATGTTTATATCACATACTTTTCTCTTTTTATATACAGTGGGGCCTTGACTTGCGAGTTTAATTTGTTCCGTGACGGAGCTCGTAACTCAAATTACTCGTATGTCAAATCAATTGTGAACAAGTGATACATGTGATGCTGGGCTGAAGTTGTGGCGTTCACTGTGATGTTCACTGCGCCAACTAGTGGTGGGGTATCTGAAGCTGGCTCGTAACCCGAATTTTAGCTCACAACTCAAAGCAAAAAATCGGCCGAGAGATGGCTGTATCTCGAAAAACTCGTTAGTTGGGACACTCGTAAGTCAAGGCCCCACTGTACATGCATACCAAGGCTCAATATATTATATCACATTTATTAAATACATGGTTATGGAGAAAATTCAGAAGACTTAAAAATCAGAGTGCCTTCCTTGCTATTACCATACTTCAAATTATTACCTACACTGCTTTCATGTGTAGTTTTCATGCTTCCCTATCCCCATTGTAGTTACTTAGGCTTGCAAGCCCTAATCAAAACTGACTTCATCTCATCATGAGTTCTTAATTCAAATGCAAAGTAGGTTAAAGTCTACTAGTCTCAATTGATTCTCACAAAGTAATACTCTGTACCTGGTTAGTAAATTCCCCAAACAGACTAACATACTTGTATTATTTTTAAAATGAAAAATATGACCAGTTAGTTTTCTATAAAGTACCTGGTATATAAAGGTATTATCGGAAAGTATAGTAAAAAATAAAATTTGTTTCCTTGATAAATGCTTAGATATTCTAGCAAATCATATTAGCAAAGACACTATATTTTCTAAATGATAACTAAGAATATAGTAAACATCACTTCTGATGGAGCTTATCTATTCCTTAGTGACAGCATAACAATATGTAACAGGTGGAATTCCTTGATACAATAAAGAATTTGCCAGTCTTATAAATAAACAAACTTAACTCATCTTTGCTTCAACAGTCTGTACATGGGCAAACTGATGAATTCAGTGAAGAAAAAAATATAAGTAAAATTTCCCAAAAATAAATACATTGGTTCATGGAGTATAAGCTCATTTTTTTAGTTCTGGAATTTTACCTAGCAGTTTAGATATATGTTAAGTGTATATATGTTAATTATTTAATTGATTTAAGATTACAACATATTTTTCTGAAATAAAGTGTATATTGTCTCAGATGCATTACATTTAAGTTTTTAAATATTTAACATAAGTCATTATTGATGTTCAATTGCTCAAGTTAAAATGGCACATTGAGAGCATATTCTCCTATATAAATTGCGGTTATAAGGTCAAATTATGAAGAATCAGTATTTAACACTTTATGTAGGTATTAATGCTATGCTCAAAACTGCTTTTAATAATGTGAGACATTTATGTTAATATGCCACAATATACAAATATATACATGTAAGTCCTGAGAAACAAATCTAAATTGTGCCTAAGTTTCCAAAATCAATATATTCTAAAATTCCACTAATTCAGAAATAAATTATTTCATCAAACCTAACCTCAACAATGCATACAGAACCAAGTGTATTAGCATAAGATACATAACAACTCTAAAAAAATAAACTTTCTAAAATGTGTGTTTTGGGGATTTCTTTAATGATAAGAACCAAAACATATACATAAATCCAAATTGCTCAAACTTCTAATGCTATATCTATTATATATAGTAAAGCTATCACATAAATCTTTTTACACTTTTAAAATAACTGTTAAACTGTATGTCTAAAATTGTGGTTTTAATGTAAAATGTTGAATGATTTGTGTAAGTGAACAGAAATCTGCAGCAGTAAATTTTGCATTAATGTAAGGATCTGACAATCCAAGGGAAAGAAAATGAAGTAATCTGCCAGTAAGAAGTCCTCAAACCGGGGGTCAGATCATGTTCATGGAAACCATCTGGTTGGGACCCTCTGAGCCACACCAAACACAAATGATCTTTTAAAAAAATATCCTATTCATTAATGCATCACAGCTGCACTGAGTGTTACTTCATTTTTCCATGGCAACATCCTTTCTGTTTCAAGGATCTTATTTCAGTTTTGGTAGCAACGTGTTCTTTCCCCAATATTGAACACATTCATGTGTTAAAGTGAAGGGATTATTACAAATTCTTGAAGTAGAACCACCTCTATTTTGATTCCTATTAGGTCAAGGGCTACATATCTAAGTATTATATCCCGAGGATAAACCAATAAAGTGGAAATTACTCAGTATTCTTATTTTAATAAATAAAACAACTGCACTTTTTTTCGGAAATTCTAAGTTTACATGCTATTGTGTACCACCATATGTAAGGTTTGGTAAACTTAGATTTTTCTAATTTGTGTGTTCCATACTGTGATACAACTCAGGTAAAAAGAAGAGGCTAAGGTAGGTTCCATTTACATATTAATCTGAATATTTTATTTAGCCCATTGGCTATGTATAGGACACTTTACATATAAATGCTCTAAATGTTATTACATATCATCTGCTCTTTTAAATAATGGTCCTGTTTCTTATCCCCAAATAACATGTTTCTCCTTCTTTAAAACTTAAAATTTTAGTGATAATTATATTTTGCAAAAGTTCTAACAGAATGAAACGTTCTCTGTATGAACTTATTTCTTTCTTCAGGAAACAGTTTTAAAAAACACACAAAAATAAGGAAACATTTCAGGGTGTGATTTCATTCACATTTTCTTTTTTTATTCAGAATTCTTTAATATTTACCATGAACTGATTTGGAAGTCGAGAACACAGAGACAAAAGACATAGTCCCAGCACTTAAAAAAAACTTGAAATAATAGGGTTTTTAAATACTTATAGCCTTAGAATTTTCACCAGAACACAAGCTCTATAATTCTAAACATGGCCTATTTTGTTCACTCTACAGTGTTAGTACATACTATAATGCCTAGCCTATACCAGGCATTAAACAAATGAACACAATTATTTTTGTTAGCATCAGATACAGATGTTAATTAAAATAACTGTTTGATGATGTTCATCATTTCATTCCACAGAGACAACCTGGTAGGGTAATTTATTTTATTAATCTTCCCCGAAGGATATGTTTTTATTGATTTTTAGAGAGGGAGGAAGTAAGGAAGAGAAAGAGAGAGAGAGAGAGAGAGAGAGAGAGAGAGAGAGAGAGAGAGAGAAATATCAACTGATTGCTTCATGTACGCACCTCGACCAGGAATGAACCCGCAACCTAGGTCTGTGCAATGACTAAAAATCGAACTCACAACCTTTTGGTCTATGGGACAACATTCCAACCAACTGAGCCACTGGGCCAGGGTAATTTTTAGGGTAATTTAAAAAATTGACTTATCAACAGATGGGTTCAACTCCACCCTGGGACCTTTGACAAGTTATTTAACTTGTCCATGACTTCAGTCTTCTCATGTGTAAGTGGAGTGAAATCAGCATTGACATAAAGATGTAACATAATAAGTTCCACCTAAATGTTTGCTCAGTAAATAAAGTCAATAAACATATACTAAATATCTGCTACAAGCCAGATCCATAAAATATATTAGCCCCAGGGACTTAAAGATGTTCACAGTCCTTTTGTCTTAAAATGCTGTTGCTTGTGGATGAACTATCTACATACACAGAGTTGACCCAAACATTCCATTTGTACTACAACAAATATACAAATATTACCCAAATCACAGTTTTGCTATTCTATAAATCCTCAATACACTATGAAAATACTCTGGGTGTGTTATATGTAGTAGAAATCTAAATGTACTCTTTTAGGGCAATAAGTTAAAAACCTCAAAAGTGAGCCCTGGTTTCTTCTTTTCCAGAGTGAGTGTTATAAATCTCCATACTCTGCCTGTACTTGTCAGGGAAAGACATAAAGAGACTCGTAGATTTGTATTCCAGACTTCCTCCTGCTAATAAATTGTCATGCAACTGTTGTTACTTTCTCAATGTGTATAAATAAAAATAAGGTGCTGTGTGCAAAGTTTTAAGCATTATATGTAAAAAGTTAACTTTTAGAATTAAGATTATTAACCACTGATTTGTCCAGTGGTTCTCAACCTTCCTAATGCCGCGACCCTTTAATACAGTTCCTCATGTTGTGACCCAACCATAAAATTATTTTCGTTGC